AATAAATAAATAAATAAATATATATATATATATTTATATTGAACGTTAAATATGAATATGTACCGGTATATGTATGTATAGTGGTGGCGCAGAAAATTCGTTGAGTGGATTGGAGTATTGTAAAATGAATAGATTTATTCCAGTAAATTTTAAAATATGTTGCTTTGTAGGCGAAGATATAGAGAGTTTTCAGGTTTTACCAGGAAACGTAGAACAACACACATTCCTGAATCTAGATCTGAAGAATGGGCAGCGCTACTATAGCAATGTCAGAGCCTACAACCATGCTGGTCTTCACACGTTAGTAGTGTCTGATGGGTTCATTGTGGATCTTCAGCTTCCTGTTGCTGGAATGGTTCTTGATGGCAACGGTAGGTTTAGTAGGCCTAATTTTTTGTATTTTTCTTCCTATGACTTTTTGTTTTTAACATTTTGTTCATTTATTTTTTTTAAATTATTTTTTAACTGAATTCTGAAATGTTGAACACCCCCAGGAATTCAATTTTTTAAGCTGGTAGCCAGTTTCAATCTGTTGAGGCCAGTGGCGGGCCGACGTAATTGCGTACTTCCACATTTTTTTAATGATAACCCTACCCATTCTATTGTATAGGGTCTGCAAATCTTTCTAATTATAGGCCTATTATAATGTTGCCTTTAATTTTCAACTTCAAGTAGGCCTTGTTTTGTAAAAGTGAGTGAATTCAGTAATATATAAGGGGGAAGCTGGGTGGGGATTAAAAACAAACCTTGCACCCCAGATTCTTCTGCCCTACCACTAGAAATTTTCCGAGCAAAACACATCGACTCAAGCAATAAGAAGTAAGACTAGTTAAAAACAATGCCATTTCCTTTTTTTTCATTTCAATTTTTATTTATATAAAAAAATATCAATATAAAAAGGGTTCACAAGTTGTAGCTCGACAGCCAAAGTATATGTGAGCCTTACAATTTCAGTAATAATTAAGTCAAGACAGTATGTACAAAAATTAATTATAAATATAAGAATTGAGACAATATATACAGTAATTATGATTATAAAAATTGAGACAATATATACAGTAATTAATTATTAATATAAGAATTAGGACAAAATAAATAATTTTAAAAAAAACCCATTAAAAAGTGAATACAGCCATAATAAAAAAAGAAAACAAAGAAACACAATGCACAATTGTGGAAACTCTCTGACGAGGAGTCCAGTATCCCCAAAATAAGCCACATTTACCTCGGCCCCACGGTGGTTGGCGCTGAGGTGGTTGGCCTGGAAGTGGCATTCTATGACTTAAAAATACGTTTTCATCTGAGTGTTTTCAACTGATCGGCCGCTGGTCCTTGACTTCGCCATTGGTTAGCAAACGCACGGCACCATATTAGTGAACCTCACTTAATATTTCATCCCCATTAGTATCCCCTTCCCATGTCAATATTCTACGTCAAGAGGCCTAGATACAATGAGCTACACTCGGAAAAAGTCAGACTCTTGAATGCCAGAGTAGGTGGTCGTATTTCTATAAACAAAAAACTATATAAGTACTGAAAATCAGCGGGAAAAATTATTTATGTTTTAGCAATGTTGCACTGGCCGGATTCAAATCTTTGGTGGGCCACAATTGTCCCTTGGTCTGGGGATTGAATACCAGATTTTTTAAAAATAGCTATTTTAAAGTAAATTTTTTATTGCATACCATCATTTTTAATATGGTTTTATAACAATTCTGTATTCAGTGTTTTTGTACACTTTTGATTTTATGAATAAATACTACTACTACTAATAATAATAATAAATGCTTAAATTTGCTCGATTGCTCTCTCTGTGGTTTATTTTATCTGTACTTTTTATTAGGCCTTTTTAATCTTTTTGTAATTATATTATGTTTTCTTATACCGTACTGCATTTTAATGTTTATAATATTTTTTTTAATTATGTATATAGAATTGCGATATTGTATTTTTGTTGTCATGAGGGGAGCCCCTCGACAGTAGATCTTCTACTTTTGGGCAATCCTGCCACATGACAACAATTACTATTTTTGAAATTTTATATTTGTATATTTTATATATTTATATCTGGCGAAATAAATGAAATGAAACAACTACGTGTGTAGTTAATTGTTATGATATCAGGAATAGAATTTTGGCCTACAATTCCATAATTAATTATTAGATCGCAATATGTACAACTCAAATATAAGAGCTAAAATCTAGAGAGTATATTTTAAAAAAAAGGAAAACGGATTGTTTTCTTCAAATAAAGGCCTACTTAACATTTGTAACGTGTTGTTATTACAAGCTATTCATTATTTTTTGTGCCAGATCTCCATGACATTAAATACCAGTCATCACCTGCGGTTGTAAAAACATCGTGGCTTGGATTTGTAGATTTTGAGTCATTCACGAGCTACTTTGAATCTTGTATCGGCGAGACCGATGACCCAGAGGAGTGCAGAGTTAAGGAATGGCAAAGAGTTAAGATTGGTAACTCTGTTACGTCATATATTTCCAGAAATCTAACTACTGGTAAAGACATTTTTCTCGATGAATTTGAATTTTCTATTTTTTTTTATCGTACTTTCCATTGGTTTAAATATTTTAGTCTTTCAAAAAAACTAGATTTTTCCCTTTTATGGCCATATGCTCTCTTACATACTATGGCAACCCTATTATATTTTAACATACACTGTTTGATATAAGTAATACACTAATTTATGTGGTTGATGTATATAAAAACGTTCAAACACTCAGATAAAATCCCATAAAACATTGTCTGTTAACTATTGATAACTCTATTAGTACATCTGTGGTATGATGATAGTTTAAGGCGTTGTATAATACTAAACATTATGCTTAGGCCTATATATAACATAAATATAAGTCGAAAGACAGGACGCACTGTGTTGGTTGACGAATCCATCTTCTCTCTGTGAGGGATAACGACGCCACGGTCCTTGTCGCATTGCGGTTTCCCGGAACCGTGTCGGCCGCCGACAGTGGCGCAGAGGTGAATTGATGCTAATAAATAAAAACGTCTTTATCTTCTTCTTTAAAGGATTAAGGTATTTTGCAAAAGTTCGAAGTTACGACGCAGCCGGCCATGTATCGCCAGTTTCTGTTTCCGATGGATTTATCGTCGATACCACACCACCAGAACCATTAGAACGTGTTTATTATGGCGAAAATATCATACAGAATCCTTCTTTTGAGGAGAGTCCACATAGTATTCCGTGGTCAGGACAACTAGAGGACAGTCCACAATGGATAGTTTCCAAGGAGCTATTACCTAATGGATGGAGTTTAATTAATAACTCTAGCTTAGTTGTTTATACGGCAGAGCATTCGCATGTTCAGGATGGTACATATTTTATCCTGCTTCAAGGTGGACTTACACAGAATATAATCATGGTTATCACCAAGCTACAGCTTCATTCCAAATTTCCATAAATAATATTTCATTTTATTTTCCTTCCTAGAGTAACGACCAGTATTTTAATTTTTACTATATATTTGGGGGGAATGTGTTGAAACATTAGACAGTATGAATACCTGCATTATATAACCAGTACTGAACTAACAAGAGCGACCGCTCACCAGGTCCGCGTGTTTCTCCATGCTTAAATACGGTACAGGTGCAAGTAATTATATTGGATTTTTTTGGAAGAGCTAATAAGATAGAAATTTTAAAATAATTAGAATGTTTGTTTGTACAAATAAAAACCTTATTTAGAATGATCATTTGTACAAAATTAAAATAAATAAATTGGGGAAAAAAATACCAACCGCACCATTCATGCGACGTGCCCTGTTAGAGTGGTAATGGCAATTAAATCATTTGTACAAAAGTACTTAAAATTGAAAAAAAATAAATAAAATTTCTTAAAATAGAAAAAAAAATTGAATACCAAGACGCGTTTCGAAATCACGACCCTAAGTTCTTTAGAACACATTCTTAACCGAAGGTCGCGAGTTCGAATCGCACCTCGGTGTTAATTTTCTTTTTTAATGAACATGGATGAGAACTGTTTGACAGAATGAAAAAAATAAATAAATACGCGATTTGAACTCGCGACCTTAAGTTCTTTAGAACACATCCTTAACCGACCGCACCATTCATGCAGCGTGCACTAATACGGTAGTGGTAAATGGCAGTAATGTACAGTCCTTGCTGAAACCCCTGTTTTTTTTTTAGGTGTAGGGGGACCCTGGGGTCCAACTTAAAAAAGGGCGATGAACGTTTGTTGGAAACCTCCTTTAGTTTATGTGTACAAAATTTCATGCACGTCAGGTGAAAACTGGTGACGTTGGACGCTTTTAAAATTTGAAACCCATGTTTTGTTTTGTAGGTGTAGGGGGACCCTGGGGTCCAACTTAAAAAAAAGGGCGATGCACGTTTGTTGTAAATCATCTCTAGTTTATGTGTACAAAATTTAATGCATGTCCGGTGAAAACTGGCGACGCTGGACGCTTCTAAAGTTTGAAACCCATGTTTTGTTTTGTAGGTGTAGGGGGACCCTGGGGTCCAACTTAAAAAAGAGCGATGAACGTTTGTTGGAAATCAGCTGTAGTTTTTGTGTTCAAAATTGCATGCACGTCCGTTCAAAACTGGCGACGTTGGACGTTTTTAAAGTTTTAATAACAAGAACAAAAACAAGAACAAGAACAGCAGTGAAGCTCTGGGTCAGCGCTTCACGAGGACCAAAAAGAACATACAGTACAACACTATATCCAACAACAAAGGTTAAAGGGTTACGTTTAAATAGCTTTGATTAGCATGCGGTATCAATTTGACAGTCATAATTTTGATAATGATATATATGGTTATGGTTATTAATGTTGAAAATTCAATTGCAACAAACGCCGTTTCTATTGAACATATGTTCTTCGTATCCAATGAGCTATTGACATAGGTCTATCCATTTTGTTTAGATTTCATCGTATTCGTACAATGATGATAACAAGAACTCGGCAACAGTGACTGCAGATGGTGCAATACATTTTCAAACTCAGTTTATACACGACTGGTCATCGATACACGCTATATGGCACTTTGTCGACCCAGAAAGCCCCATTGTGGACTACACATGGGCAATAGGTAAATACACATTAACTAAATTAATTAAACAAAAATAATTAAAACTAGACCTATGAAATGATTCATAATTACATGTTGTTATAGTAGATATTAAAATGGAAACAATTTTCTTTTATATTATTTATCATTATCATCATCTCATTTGATCTCAATCGGATCTTGACAAAATTTAAAGAGACATCAAACAAACAACGTTTTTCCATCCACGTTTTATTGTCTTTGTTGATTCCTGTTGTTTGTTATTATTATTGTTCTTGTAATTTTGAATGTTTACTGTATCTATTGTTGCCTTTATCTTTATTGTTATTTTGAAATTAAATTATCATGATCTTTATTTTCATTGTTGCCATCATCATCGGTGTTATCATCATCATCGCCTACATCATCGTCTCCATCAGCGTCATTATTATAATTATCATCGTTGTCACTGCTAGTGGTGGCGGTGTGGTATTAGCATTGGTTAGGTATATTTCTGGCAGTGGTGAAGATTGTGGTGGCAGTGGTTGTGCTGGTAGTACTTCTAGATTATGAATTGCTCACTCTAACACTTTGGATATTATTATTATTATTATTATTATTATTATTATTATTATTATTATTATTATTATAGAGGCATTACCAACATGTTTGATTATTTTTAACTATGAGTCCTGGATAAGTGACGGCCTATTAAAATCTATGAAACACAAACTTTATGCTAAGTATTTGCACAACCCATTGATAAGAATAAAAATATATTCTATATCGCCATAAACTTAATAGAATACTTCTGAAGGTTAAGGCTAATTACTTTAAGAATACTTTTTCTCAACTTACAAAAGATATCAAAGGTACTTGGAAAATCATTGACACCTTACTCAAAAAACCCAAGAATACCCAGTCTGACATAAATATCAATTATGAAGGCCATTTATTCACTGACCTTAATATCCAACTCATTTAATCAATTCTTTGTAAAAATTGGCTCCTTAGCTATCCAGATACCCCAAACACAAACCAAGTTTAAAGAGTACTTACCTGGTCCTGTTCCTCACTCATTATTTATTACCCCAGTTGTTGAATCTGAGATTTTCAATCATTTATTCTTTTAAAAACAACAAAGCCCCTGGTATTGACAACTTTAGTACCAAAGTAGTCAAACATATTTGTGCCCTTATAACTGACCCCTCCTTATGCTATATTTTTAATCTGTCTATTTCCAAAGGAGTATTCCCTGATCAATTAAAACTTGCCAAAATCACACCTATTTTTAAATCTGGAGACAAAACAGACATTAATAACTCTCGTCCTATTTCCATACTTTCTATCTTTGCTAAAACCTTTGAACGTATTTTCTATGACAGGACGTACTTATTCATTTAAAAACACAAAATTCTCTCCAATGATCAATACGGTTTCCGAAAGGGATAGGATACTTGAATGGCCCTTTGCCAACTGACAAACAACATTGTGGATGCTTTCGAGAGCAACGAATTTGCCGTTGGTACTTTCATTGATCTCTCGAAGGCTTTTGACATCATTGACCATTCAATTCTTATATCCAAACTTCATAATTATGGTATTCGGTAATCAGGGGCGGATCCAGAGGTGTCCAAAGGGGGGGGGGGCGAAAGGGGGCCCCGAAATTTGGGCCGATCGAGACAACACTGAAATAGGAGGCCCCACGAAATTTCTGTGTTTTAGACGCCCGAAAAAAACATTTGAGGTGTTCTGGGCTATCGTTTTTTCTTTTTCTATTTTTTCCCTTTTTTTACCTCTCAAAAGGGGGGGCCGGGGTCTAGACTAGATCTGCACTCAGATTGAATATTCCCCTGCATAAAAATATTTCTTTTCAACATGATATTAGATTTAGCCGACCCAAACTACGAAACAACTTAACTGACCATATCAAAGACTGTGACTTGAAGAAAAGCTTTTCCTTAAATCTTTAGAATCTACTGTAGACTATCAGTTTAGTCGTTCCTTTCTCTTTTTTGTCCTTTTCTTTTTGTAACCCTTTTTTATCTCCTGTCACCTGTTTTATCTTTCAGTTTTCGCTGTAATTTTGTTCCTTTTATTTTTATTGTTTTTGTTATTTTTTTCTTTTTCTTTTCTTTATTTTTAATATCATAGTTATTATTAGTAGTACAGTATAAATAATAATTGGTTGAATTTTTACTTGTTATCGGGCGTGCCTCACACAAGCACTTGCTTTTTGTTGGCTATGCCCTCTTCAACTATTTTAATTCTCATCCATTAAATTGTTTATATTGTACTTTTTTCGATTATGAAGAAAATAAATGTTTATTTGAATTGAATCATCACTTTATTGTTTTTTCTGTATAAAACGTCAGACACAAGGGCCTAAATGTGCATTGTTGGTTTTGTTATAACTGGCATGATGTGTGGTATTATTTATGACTTACATTCACATGGATCCCTAGGTACTGTTCCAGGCGGGACTCAGGTGCAAGGATTCAAATCGGTTGGGACAAAAAGAGAAGGATTAAATACGGAGGTCATACTCCAAAACGGTGTCCAAGTATACGTGACTGTAGTCAGTACCAACGCAGCTGGTCTAGCTACTCGAGTTATAAGTGCGCCCCTTACGATAGACTTGACAGAACCAGTTGTGGACTTTGTCCATGATGGTGCAGATGAGGATGATATTGATTACCAAACTGATCAAAATTTGGTGGTCACGTGGTCTGCATTTGATGCACAAAGTGGCATTTACTTGTGTGAATGGGCAATAGGTAAGTTATAAATTGCTGTCTGCAAGCTTCAATTCTTGTGATATGGTTGGCTCCTTGTAGAATTTGAAAAATGGCATCCACAAAATAATCTACTTTTTAAAAATCAAAGTGTCCGTAAGAATTAAAAAAGTCTTCCGTCGATTTGAGACCACCTTTGAAACCCAAAAATGTGGGGTGGTTTAGATGTCTTGAAATGGGGGTCTGATGGGGTGGGGGACGTGAAGCTGAAGTAGGAGATAGTGTGCCGCGATGATCAGTTGAGGGGCGCTAGTTCGCAAAATAAGGTGGTTTTAGTTGATTTTTAACTACTTGACCACGATTTTTGGGGGGACACAGGGGCTGTATTTGGGGGAGGGGGCGTGGGCCCAGATATGCCACTGAGTTTAGTATACTCTTTTGAGTTCATTGACAATTGTAATTTGGTTATTTGAAAAATTGGTTTCGAATTAGAGGTGCACTGTATTGAAGATTCTGCATTATTATCTTTTTTGCTGGCAGTACCAGTATTTGATTCTTATTGAGTATCATTGGTTCCTATCAATTGATGTGTATATTATCGAAGTAGTTAACCGCCAGCATATATGGTACTTTCACAGGTTTTAATCCATTAACTGATGATATCCAGGAATTCAGGCCAATTAATTGTGATGACGGTTTCGGAATCGCCACAGTAAATGACACGCTATACGAGAATGTACGATTATTCTCAACCATTCGAGTCCACAACAATGCTGGTATGAGCACCACTTATAATTCCGATGGCATTGTCATAGTGACTCGTCCACCAATAACAGATAATGCAAACGTTAAAGTGTTGATAACGTCACAATCTTCTTATACGCCCCGTGGATATTACCAATCAGATACAAGAAACTTAGCCATTGCTTGGAATGGCTTTTATGATCCTGTGAAAATCACTCGCTATGAAGTAAGATTCTATAACGTATTTTATTATGATTTAATAATAATAATAAGTTGACTTGCATTAAGCCTACCGCCTAATAAATCGCTACTGGGTATCACGATTCATGAAAGTATCTGAATTTACATCATTCAAATATGTACACCATTTTTGTGACATATTTTACCAAATATTGTTAACAACAATAAACATAATATTGAATTTGAACTCTCAAGTATAAAACTGACCTCTGGACTTAATTCACTAGAGATTAACTGCCCTTCTCCTGTTTACAGAATTCGGGATGGAAAGTGGAGAATTTACTATGAAATTATGTCCAGACTCCAGAGGCTGAATCACTGGGAAGAGTACCCTGTGACATGGGCTATATTACCGCAATTATTGCTAGACCGTCTGTCTGATAGGTTCTTATTTAATAGTTTTGCAGACCAAGCAACGCCACACACTAGCCAGCCTTTTTCAACATTGATATTAGTTGTTTACACAAAGCTTAACGTGTTATATTTTTTATATACTCTAAATAATTATGACTATCAATATCACATAATGATTACCAATGCAATCAAGTCCCTGATTATCTTATTAACTAGAAAAGTGTTAGGTACTAGTATTGTATATCAAAGTGCTAAATGTTTTCACAAGTCTCCAATGAGGCCCTATTGAAGTTGAAGCAGATGTAACGTAAGCCCCGTCGCACAGCCACTCATCAACAAAAGAATAGATTAATACCTACTAATCTATAATCAAATTTATGTGCAAATCGATTAAAATCGAGCTATATCGCGCACATATTGCACAAAGCAAATTGTTTCGTAGTTTGGAAACTGTGCAAGGAAATCTTGCACAATTTGCAAACTGTGTAAGGATGTCTTTTCAAAATTTGAAAACTGTGCAAAAGTCTACATTTTGAAAAATGTGCAAACGGCTCAAACTGTGCATGACACAGTATTTTATCACTTTCGGAAGTGTTGTTAAGAATGGTAACCTTATCGTAACCCTTTATTTTTAGGTGCTCTGCTCTGACATTTTGGCTTTTTATATTTTGATGTGTTTTGTGTTTCCCTTTTTGATCAGACGAGGGAAATCCTGATTTTATAGTTTTTTATCAACTTCAATTTGTATTTTAATGGTTTAAAAATAAAGTGTACAGTATTTGTATTTGCATATTTATACCACCTGTAATATTTTTTGTATTTTCATTTTCTAGTGTTGCGTTGGAACTAACAATTTGGTATGCACTGGTCGCTGGATCGCCTGTGGTCTGTCAGACGACACACAGACAAGGATCTATGACATCTCATTGGCACCCCATACTATACACTATGTGTTTGTTCGTGCTGTGAACCTAGTGAACATGACTAGTGATAGTGTTGTCACAGAGTTCATTACAGAGACATTAGCTCCAGTTGTTGTTGGTAATTTAAACAATATATTACTCTTCCCTTACAATCAATAAAAGCATTTTTACTAAATATAGAGAATTTGGTATTGCCATTTATAATGTGTTGAAATAGAAACTAGATTAACATACATGAGATCTCTACAACACCGTCTTATTTTTTCAAAAGAAGATTTATACATGAAAAAAAAAACTCCTAAAAGCATCATCAAACAAATATATTTTTACCCTCAGATGACATAGAAATTACATGGCCTCATGATGAAACAGTAAAGTTGGATTGGGAAGGAACATTCCAGGCCAATTCATCTTTAATGTACGAGCTCACTGTTGGAACACAAGCGGGTGCATCTGACATTGTTCAGTGGCTAGAGACGTCAGAGGTGGCAGTAGTACTGAACAACATGAAAGAGTTAGTAGATTACTTTGTGGCACTAACAGCAGTTAACTGCGCAGGCCTGCACACAACTGTCAACGCCACCTTCTATCAGAAACCATAGATACTGATAATTATATTCTAGATCAATATAATAACATTTCTATTAGAATTTCATTGTTTTATCATGACTAAACTCAGTTTCAACCATAATAGACATGAAGTTTACTTTATTATTATGCCTATAAAAACATAATATTAAAATCTGAATTTCAAATATAACATTTAGAAAGCCTGGCTAAAGTCGTTACATTTAATTAATAATGTTTTTTTTTTCTATTTTAACTTTTAATGTATATTACATATTGATTTTTTCCTAAATTTATATTTTAAAAATTCTGTACAGCGCCAGTGATCATTTCAATTGGATAGTGTTTGCGCTATATTGAATAAAGTTATTATTATTATTATTATTATTATTATTATTATTATTTGTTAGATGTTTAAACATTATTATCAGATTGCCAGTTCTTTACATGTAGTTTATAGAGACCTAAGGTCATGTTTGTCATAAGAAATCATGTAATAATTTTAGATAAAAGAACATTAAAATTGAATACAGTACGTTAACTTTGATTATGGTCTAAAATGTTTAAAATAGTAATATCTTTCAAATTCCAATATTCATACTTTGTAATGATAGAAAAAAACAAATGTTACATTTACACTGAAAAGATGCAGAGAATTAATTACATTAAAGTCAAAACAATATCTTAGTAAGAATAAAGAAATGGGCCATTAGATGGGATCAAAACAAGAAAAACTGCCCTTGGACATCCCCCACCCCTTGACAATTTCCCCCTGTACCTTTCCCCCGAGCAGTTCCCCCTGTGACATAACAAAAACATGTGTTAAATGAAACAATTACAAGGAATTCATCAACATTTACATCATCTACTTTACAAAATCTCTATTAAATTAACAGTAACAACAATATATGCATGATTTACCCACTCTTTCAAGTTATTAAACATCGGCATAAAAATACTGATAACATGGAAAATAGTTATACGTAGGCGGCAAGGTATCTAAATAAGATAAATGAATTACTGAAAGTAGAAACTTTAAACGCTATAGTTTTTTATATAACTTTTTATTAATACTGAAATTCTTTATCTGTTTCAAATCATTTAATGGTGCAATCCTTACAGAATAAACAAGGTTGCTCTTTATAGTTATTAATTTTTTTATTATCAAACTAAATTTTCATTATTATTTTTATTGTTATTAAATTATTATATATCTCTATTGAAGTCATGGATAAGACTAGTTATACAAACATAAACACAACAGAGGAATTACATTAAGTGTACTTCAATTGCATTTGCTCTTTTTAATTACTATTTATTTCCCTTAATTATCAAATTCATTATAATGTGACACTATTTAGAACGTGCAAGTATAATGCTTAAAGAAATGTAAACAGCAGTTACTTGCATAGTAGGGCAATACCAGGTACCGTAATAAAGATGTTATAAATTTTCACTTATCCATTAAAACGACTTTTTAGAAAGGTATCTTTTTAATGATCTTTGGAGTTACTAAGTTTTTAGTTAAAAGGAGATATTGTGGGCAATGACTATAAGATAATCCATTCTATCCCAGTTGAAACATGTGTCTACAGTACGTCTATGATGGCATTCTTATTTCCTGTAGGTATGGCCACGGAGGAATGAAGAGACTATGTAATACCATGCAGGAATCATTTTCATTGTAATACTGTACCCTATAATTTGTATATTGCTGTAGTAGAATAGTTATGTGTGTAAAAATAAGAACGATATAAGAACATTTTAAGCCTATGAATATGTAAGTAATGAATATCGTACGATTAGGCCTGACTACTTCCTTAAAATCAAGTAATAAAAAATGAACAGTATTATAAATTCAAATGTTTAATTGAAATAAAATAACAGAAGGAGGGGCAAGGCAAAAGCCTGGGGAAAAAATGTCACAGAGGGCAAATGTCCCAAGGGGGGGGGGGTTGTGGTGTGGTGAGAATTATCGAGGAAAATGTCCGAGGGACAAGCAGCACTGCCCCCCCCCCCCTTATGTAATTCCAATCGAATAGGGTGGGGGAGGGGGAACTATCTTGCAAAATAAGGTGAAATGAGATGATTTTAACTACGTGTGTTTTTTCTTCCAATATTTGCAATGGGAAAGGGAGTGACGGTAGGGCCCAGGGGGCCGAGCTATTTGGGGAGGGGCTGCAACTCCCGTGCCCTCTATATACGCCACTGATAGCAGAGTAGACGCACGAGCAACTATCAACCGTGCCACGAGAAAGCATTAGCTATTCTATAAACTTATCCATCAGTGTGCTGTAAGTTCATCGTTTGATCCATCGGGCTGTATGCCTACAGTATAATGGGAGTAGTTATATTTGTAGAGTATAAACAAAGTCATGCGCTTAACATGAAAAGACAACAGAACAATAGACAAAGATAGTACGAAACATGTAAGATAGGAGAAAAAAAAATCCGTAGGCCAAAATCTGTGTTTATATAATCATAATTTATTTGACTTCGACATCATTATTATTATATACACAAGGTAAGGTACAGAATAATGTACATAGCGAATGTAATGTTTAATAGCAGTCATGCTGCCCTTTAGACACATCACTGCAGTAATGGCGATTATACAGTGTAAAACGCCTGTCGTCATTGTTGTTATAAATAAATAAAGTAGCATCCCGATAGTAGGATATAACATTGGCGACGAAGATGATGGGCTCTAATGTGTCCCACTGATGCATCAGTTTTGGAGCAGGGGTCCTTCCGATTTTTATAATATTTTTACAATAAATCTTTGGATTTTTTATTTTATTTTTAGATGTTGTCAGAGGGCATCTTTGAGAGCCGGCTATTGGTTGGACTGCTTCTTATGACCAAAAGAAAAAGCACATTGGCGATATTTATTCAATTGATGATTTTTATTAGATTAACCAATGAACAATGTCAACAATTATCTTGTTTCATTTACTTAAGCTAAATAAAATGAAATAGATCACACTTGATTTCATAGATTATGATGACTGTGATCATGTTAAACATTTACCCGACGGACACATTTTAATAATCGTTCACTTATAAACAAATGCACGATTATTCTTTATCAGTGGTAAACAAACACCGGGCCTATACATGATCCCAAACGTTTGTATTGTAATTTCACTGTTCCCTGGTACAATGAAAAGAATAAACAAAAATTCCAACAATATTCATCAAAATCTTGATTGTGAAAATTTTAGCGATTATTTCAGTAATAGGCCTATATATGAACAGACATTTCAAACATAATTAAAGAAGACACAACAGAATAGAAAACCCAAAATTGTATTCACACACTAAATTTACGACACTTGAAACTGGCGATACTGAAAAAAATTGGCAGGATTATCTAAAAATAGTAACATTGATACTAGGCTATAAACTTAGACTTGCATAACGCTATATCGCGAAGTCCCTATGTTCCATTATAAATAAGCCTACATCATAATGGTATGGTCTCAATGGAAATGCCCTTATAAATGTACCAATATGCTTTTGGGAAGTATCACTCAATGTTATATACAGTACCTTCATCGTTTAATAAATCTTTTATGGATGCTGGGGCGGATGCAGTATTTGGCGGTAGTGGGTACATGAGAGTCCACACAGTGGTGGAATATAGGGGCCTATCTCAAGTGCCCGGAAATCCATATCAACAATACAACAATTATTTTTCTTAATGCAATTTAGAGGGTGCGATTGCACCGTCTGCCCACACCCCCACTGCATACTTTGCTTAGCATATTGGTTTATTACTCAACGATACGACTTTCGTGTATGTGAAAGGCCGAGACGTGAACGTTCCTTTCTTGGCCGGAAGGAAGCAAATAGTGAAATGTCACCCCTAATCAATCTGAATTGGCATACACAGGGTAGTGTCTTTGATTCAATTTTATTTTGTTTTATTCATAAATAATGATATTTCACAATTGATTTTTCTTGAGATTTGTAATATTTTTACGAATGATGTTTGCTATTTATGGTTCAGGAACACAAGTTGATGGATTAAATACAAAATTACAAATATTTTACAAAAAATTGGCAAATGGTATGTCGGAAGTAAGTTAAAAATATATGCAGTTACGAAATATAGTCTGTAAGCTTCAAGATTCATAACATAGGAAAATTAGCCGAAAAATTGCACCAATCGCTGATTATTGCATAAGCAAAATTGAACCATGTATCGATTATGCAACTTAGGTTTTGGGAAACACATCCGAGAAAAATATAGACTGCAAAAACTTTCAGCAAGAATTATGTAAACAAGATTTTGATTACAAAAACGGTTGTGGCGAAAACATAATTCGACAGCTAATTTCATGTTTAATGAACAGATGCTATATGACATGCACACACCCCTTCTCTTTAATATAACGAAATTGAAATGATTTTCGAGCGACATGGATATTCCAAACTCAAACACTTTGAATGTTGTTGCACTAATTGTAGTGTCATCTCTCTTCAACTGTGATTTCCATCTAGTGTTCCAGTAGCAATTTTTACAACAGGCATAGGGGTCTAGTCATGTATAAGTGACTATTTTTAACAATTTTAAATTATTGATGTACAGTATTCATAAAGATAAATACTATCATCCAGATTTTTATTTATGCATTGTTTAATTAGATTTAAGGTAGCGGGGCCTTATAGATCGGGGCCCCCTAGAGATCGAGGGCCCAGGTTAAATGAACCTGCTGAACCTGCGGTAGTTACGCCACTGTAATTTAAATCTAAGAAACGAAAGACCAATATTATAGTAGAACTCTACCCCATCCTCCTTCCTGTGGGACACCAGTATTCGGCGGACACCCCTATTAAGGGGACACTCGGTGGAACGAGGTGACATTTTTTACACTACGGCGAACCCCTTAAGCGGTCGGGGACACTATTTTCATCATGAGATTTCCCGTACGAATAATATCGAAACCGACAATTTCCACGTCCTCATAGTCTCAAATAAAATTTGTGCATAATTACACCTGTGCATTATTATAGGTGGCGCCAACTAATGTGAGGTGTATCGTTTACATAGAGCCTACTATAATGTTAGTGTTCAGCTGTCAATATTGACGTAACATCACTTCATTTATTTTAAATATAATTTCATTTATTTTAGCCCTGTTTTTGTTGAAAGTTGTAGCATACAACTGGATACACACACAAACGTACATAGCAGACAGTGGTGTATCTTGAAATCGGAGGGAGGGGTTGATGGGAGCTGGTGTGGTGGAGCGAAAGTGAAGTGGGGATTGATGATTAAGTGAGGGACGCTATCTCGCAAATAAGGTGACTACATGAACGTAATTTTTTGCTTTGAACATGTCAGTGGGCTGTCTCTTATACACATCTCGATTATTCTTTATGAGACTAGTGGATGGAGAAAGGGAAAAACTTTTTGGGGGTGAGGTGGCACTCTCTAGACACGCCACGGATAGGAGAGAGTTATGTCCTTGAGATTAGCGCAGGTCGCGACTTATCGGTAGACAGTCGACTGTGCCGATAACAATTGTCCATCAG